GGGTCTCCGTCTTCCTCTCCGACACCGTCAGCCCGAACTCCCGGTCTACCTCCACGATAATGGTCACCATCCTCGCCAGGCCGTCGGCGGACTTCGACACAACGCCGGCATCGTCGGCATATAGCATCCCCCACACCGCGTAATAAAAAAACACACACAGCAGACACAACAGTCAACTCACCGTTGGCAATTAGCCTCTCATCCGCATGCATGCCTGAACTCGAGGTAGACCCGAACGAGGAACACGCCACTTTCGCCGTCCATCTTCTTCAGCGTAGCCACCCTGTGGTTGCTGTCTAGAGTGTGGGCAGGTGTGGTGAGCGCGGCCTCGGCAGCGGGTTCATCGCTGTCACCGAGGCGGTCTTGCTGGATGACAACAGAAGAAGGAGCAAAACTCTCGAGCCAGCCCACTTCTTGAATGGAGCGCTCGAGGTGTTTCAGACCATTTTGGCTGAGGGGCCGCACCATCTCGGTGCAGGTGATGTTACCGAGTCGCATCTTGAACTCGCCGAGGTAGTGCTCAGACAGGACGGCAGACATATCTTGATGGATTCGATTCGCCATGATGGGTGACGGATCGCTCTCGTGCTTGGCACAGATAATAACCGTGTCAGGTGTTGACGGTGAGGGCGAGGGCGGGCGTGGGTGGATTGGTGTTTGTGGGAGTAGCTGCGAGGGGCGGAGAGGGGTGGGAAAACTTCCGGAACGGTTTGAAACAACCCTGAGAGATTCCGAAGCTCTCAGAAGTGGAAGTCACCTCTTTTTCCTTCAAAGCATATGTCAGAATACAATTCATTCTCCCGTTGCATTGTATATTCATAACATTCATCTTGCTGCCGTTGGGGTGGACGAAAAGTTTCGGAACATTAGATAATTCTCCAACCGGGTGGATGCAATATTTTGATTATATTTTATATCTTTTTTTGGAGATGAGCTCTTCGGTATTCGTATCAAAACGGTCAATCAACCAAATTTAACGAACAACAGGGAAAGTTTTGGGTCAGACGAACCCTTGGGTATTCCACCGTCGTGTCTTTTCGTTCCGACATTTTAAAAATAAACACATATCATGCTAGATTGTAAGATGTATGATTACCGTTCGTGAAAGTCAACAATTTCTACTGATGTTCTCGTTTCATCCCTCCGAAAACGTTAGCGTACCGTTGCTGATTTGACCCGTCGGATCAAAAAGACTCCCGCATGAATGAACATGAGAAGGATGGAAATGTTTTTGATTGCCAATTGTTGACCTTACACACCATTTTACATTCAAACGATCCACCACAAAAACAGAAGCACCAATCTTCGTCACCCGGGAGAATGGTGCTCCCGGGACAAATGTGGAAAATGAAGAAAGCAGGTCGATCGAGACTTTTCGTTCACGACAGGCAGCACGTCCTCTTGATTGAGCACAACAAACTCCGTATGTAAGTATATGGTTTGTGCTCACTCAGTTCTCTCTGCTTTCTTCTTGCTGCTGCTGCTGCTGCTGCTTCTTGCTTCATTGAGAATAAGGTCATTCTTCTTCCTGTCTGCACTCATCATCATACGCAGCGCCGAATGCACATCCTGCACAGACGCAGAGTACCTCTTGGCCCGAACGTTTTACCACAAGAACATTTCCGAGGAAAAATGTTTTTGCAGTTGCTGGGAACATTTCCGCGTGCGTTTAATCGTCAACGAAAAGCACCATCCTCAAAGACTAGGTATTTAGTTTAGGCTGTTGTTACCGTAGGTTGCATAAGATATCACACTTTCATTAGAATACACACACCCTCAGAAAACGTACTCAATACCACACCCGAGTGCTATTTTCAGCACCCCCAAAAGCGTCATTTTATCTCACGGTGACGTAAGATACCACGCCCCCTGAAGTTGGGCCGCATTAGATCGACGGAGCCCCCGCTTATCACACGGTGTGACAACGTGAGGACAGAGATCACAACCACACCACCTGCTCGCAAGAGCCATGGAGGCGGACAATGTCGTGGAGGGTGGTGCAGTTAACAACCCGGCTGAAAGTCCCGCGGCTCAGATTGCAGTGGGCAAGACTCCAGCGGCGGCCCCATGCTCCATAGCGTCCTTCTGCCAACCCCCCCCGGGAGAACGTGGGGCTGCTCGGACGACTCCCTCAGAAGCCGCACATGACACCGCACATACTGCTGAGGCCCGCTCAACAGAATCTACTGCTACTGAGGCTCCCACAGCGCCGGCTACGCCTGCCACCGCGGGTGCTGTTCGTGTGTCTGGATACGAGCATGGTAGATCTGCTAGCAGCACGGGGGGGGTACGTAGACAGGAGCATGTGTATGCCTGAAAAAGGCTACTATGTGTGGGCCCCCTTCCCCGACTTCGGGAGGGCCACTTCTTCCCTTCCTTTCCTCGCTCCCGCGGGTGCCTAATCAGAGAGAGTTAAAGCGTGTCTTCTCCTCCCAAGTACGGACATACCAACACACTAGTGTCTATTCCCTCGAGGGAGTCCATTAGGGATGGCGGGCCGCAGAACCGGAGGGACCACTCCGGACGGCTCGCAGGCAGGAGACACAAATAGCAGCGAGCAGATCGACAGCATGCGGTCTGAGATCAGTTCGCTGACACAGCAAATGGGCCAGCTGGTGCAGCTGGTCGGAGGACTTGCTGCACGTATAGAGGAGAAGTCCGGCGGTGCCACGGAGGGCGCCGCTGAAAGCGGCGGCGCCGTGGAGAGCGTCGCCACAAGCACTGCAGGTCATTTTGGGACCGTGCAGTACGACGGGAGCGCGCAGGCAGCGGACCTGCGAAGAGAGTCTGGTCCTTCGG